GATAAAAACCAGTCTCTCCACTTACATCATTATAGGAGAAACTAACAAGTAACTTTAGAGGCTATTGCAAAAAAGATCCTTTAAAATAAAAGAAAAAAGCTTAAAAAGAACATTCCTTCCCTAGCTGGCAGACAAGCACCCCCAACTCACTCCTGTCAAAGATCACAAATTTAAAGTTTGAGCCAACATGGCTCCTTTTCAATAGTGTTTTCCAGCATGGGACACCCACGTCCGACTCAAAAAGCCCACTGCTACTGCTTTAAGCTAGTAACACGTAAAATGAATTCTGGCATAGATGTCTGCTCTTCACAGTAATACACTGAAAATTAGAAATTAAAAAATTAAATAAAAGCAAACATTGGAAAACTGAGCAGCTCCTGTTCCTACCTTTCTGCGAGGAGGGAATTGTGTGTGTGTGGGGAAATGTAGTGTGAGTCATGAAGCTCTAAGTCTTTTTGCAACACCCTGCATTGAAGCCATCAGACATGCTGTGACTGGTTAAAAACAACAAAGCAAAACAGGAAGACAGGAGTGATAGCACTCTAATAATGATTTTAAATAGCGTTTAACTTTCAAGTTTGTAGAAGAGGTGCTCTGCTAAGACAGAACTTTCTCTGCTGTTACACTGCACAGCTTAGCCCCATTGTTTCTGCAGCAGCATTTCAACATCAGAGAAACACAGCTCTAACGGCAGCCGCTGGCAGGAAGGCCGAGCCACCAGCACGTCTGAGTCAACCGCAAACCACTCACAGGGAAGTCCCCACGCTGGTACCTGTGATTCCTCGGGTATTAACAGCAGCGCTGTCATCGAGTCAGCCTTTGCAACCACAGTTACACCTGCTCCTGCTCACTCCATGAATCACACTGGGAGTGGCCGGGGTGGGGGGCAGAGAGGTGGAAAATAGTCAGGAAGAGAGAGGATGGCTTCCAGGGTGGCAGGACCAGTTCACAGCAGACAACAGGCTAAGATACCAGCATTGGCTCACTGACCAACTTATCAGACCATACTGGCCCAATACCTACACTTCTAAGACACCACCACCCCATCCTGCCCCCCAGAAAATCCTTCACGAAGAAAGCCCCACCCCCACATGCAAATAGAGATCATCGTTACTGGGATAGAAATAACAACAGACATGAAAGTAGCACCAGACTCCATTAACACAAATAAATAAACATACTCTGTTCAAGGCTCTTTGAGCTCCCAACTACAAAAGACCATTTTTCTGAATTCCACTGGCAGTTCCCACGTTTCATGATATCTGAGGCCAGCTCAGATCCCAAGACAGGACGATACCACTCCGGTTTAGGAAAAGAAATGACAATTAAGAATGCCCCAGGTTTTAAGAGGGCATTCACAGGATAGCCACTCACAAATTGCTCAGACATGTTCAGCCAGCTTGCTTTAAATACATCAAGCAACCAGCTGAGAGAAACAACAGCAGCAGCTACTTCAAAGAACAGAACAATGTACTAGAACAACGATTTACACACTACTGTATCTATCTTTATTTGCTGCCAGGCATATAAAGACTAATTAAGGCATCAGTTTACAAGACATAAACAGAACTACTATTTTAACCTGCAAGATGAAAACCATCTACTTTAAAAGCCTGGTACCAGGCAGTACCGGGTGTCACTGCGTCTGATGGGGGTGAGGCTGCTCCAACCTTATCTTGCAAATGAAGCATTCACACTCTAATTGCACACGTTGGGAGAGAGCTGCCAGCTTTTTGTAAAAGAATCTCACTTCTGAGAAATGTGCCAGAGTTTATTTGTACAAGCAATTGATTTATTTAAGAAAAATACCACGTACTAGTACTCCCAATAAGCTACCAGAAGCGTCCCTCGTAAACACTTAAAGAAAGGAAGCAAATCTAGGATGAATCCATGGTAAAAAGAAATTCGGTCTACAATCTATTCAGTAGATTCATTAAAACTAGATGGGAGAAGAGATTAATAGATATGCAACAAAAAACGATGATCCTTTAGGATAGGGCACAGATATCCAGGGCAGTGAAATCTCAGGCCATTCATGGTTGTAGAAAGCTCTCATGATGCCAAAAGACTAATAAAACGGCAGATAAAGTCTGTAAGTTGGTAGATAAAAAAGGAACACAGAGTGGAAAAAGGTAAACATTTCCAATTTGTGTTACCTACCGCAAGCAGAAAAAATCCATGCTCTCACAGCGAGTTCCCCAAGAACACCAGTTTGCTGCTCAGCAGCAGTCAAAAAAGGATACTGGGAATTATCAGAACAAGCAGAGAGGGGAAAACTCGCATCTAGAAAGCTTTTGGTCTGAGCTAGCATGTTCCTCCTTATGTTACGGATATTTAATGCCTCTGCGTATCTGTGAACAAAAGGCCAGACAGCCACATTCACGCTGTTCTCAAGAGCAGATAGAATAGGTGCAACGGATGGCCGAGGCTCAGAGGAGCTCACCACGGTCATCCAGCACGGGATAGCTGATACCAGGAGGTTCTGCAGCATAACGACAACAGGATAAACTACAACAGATACACAGCAGGCTAGAAAGACTTTAAACTCAACAGAGTAAATATAATTAAGCGTTTAAACAGCTTACCACGGGAGATGATAATAATTTGAGGCCTATAATCAAGAGCGAATGTCTAAGACACACACTTTAGCTCGTGGCAGGACACAGTGATCTCAGTGGCAAGGATACCAGCCCTCGTCACTTGGACAGGACACGGACAGAGGTAGTACTTTCAGCAGGCAGCTTCGGCAGTTTCCAAAACGGAGATGTTATTTTGCCCGTACAGATAGCATAGGTATAACCCACGGCTGTGCAGCCTGCGGAATGGGGCACGGCAGGTGGAACGCTTCTGGCAAAGCCATCTGCCACCGCGCCCGGAGTCTTTGGCACCGCGTTTAAAGCTCAGTCTGATCAGCTGCAACCAAAAACCTCAAGATACACCCTGCAAAAGAGCCGTCCCTGGTTAGGTACGAAGCTGAGCAATTGCTTTCTCTCCGTTAAAGCTGGTTCAAACGGACACAACACTTTTGTGTGGCGAAGCCAAGTCTGAGCCAGCCGGGGCGGTTTGTGAGCTGTCAGGAGACG